TTTCTTCCTGATGATGTTCTTTCTTGCAGCATCCTCTTTTTCCTTCTTTCCCTTTAAACACATATAATCTCAAAGGCATGGGCTTAGTTTTCTTTCACCTGTTCTGTGGCTCTAAAGTTGGATTTTCATATTGTTTCCATTTCTTCCCCAAATCATTTCTCAACCTGCTCCTGGTCTCATTGTTCCACTGAATGACCACCCAGATGGACAAATCCAGTGGACTTTTCCACGTCTCATTTTGCTTGACTTCTCAGCAGATTTAGACACTACTGGCTAATCTGTCCCCTTCCTTCTGCTACCCCAAAATATCACTGTCTAGTTTCCTTCACCTTTTTGCTACCTTCCCTGCTTCTTATGCAAGCCTTTCCTTCCGTCCTCTTAATCATTCAACAGTAGCATTCCTCCAGGCTCATTCCCCTTATCACTCAGCAGTACGTTATGTGGATATATACTACAGAAGAACTCACATGCTTTTTTTTTTTTTAGCTCTAGAAATACATGCATGCATGTACACACAAACACAAAAATGCCTATTTAGGTCTCCTCTTAGATGCTGTCAAGGTATCCCAGATTCAGTAAGTTCAAAACAAACATATGATTTATTCTCAGATCTGGTTCTTTTTTAGCACATTCTGAACAATATCCCCTAACCTTCCAGTCATGTGAAACAAACCAAGAAGTCATGCTTCATACTTTCCTCTAATTTATCCTAGTATCCATCCATTACTGATATCTAACCTAGTTTGCCTCCTAAACATCTCCTGGAGTGCCTGTTCTTTTCTCTCTATACCACCACTATTATAATACAGATGAAACATAATTCATCTAACATATTTATGAATATGTTTAGTAATCCTAGTATTTACAATTTTTTGAATTTTATATATATATATATATATATTTGATTGCCAGAGGACATGACACTTGTCAGAGACAGAGAGAAGAGAGAAGAGAGAAAGGATGCCTCAGTGAGGCATTCTTCTCTCCATTTCTTGTCCTGCTAGTATACTAGGCACACATACACATGTGCCCTGCATGTTTTTCAAGTTGCCAGGCCAGGATTCAACTGTAGTTGGCATGTGGGATCCACCTCCCTTAACCATTAGGCTATGGGGCTAGCCCTTAAATAATATTTTAAAAATATTTTATTACAGGGAACCAGCAGTTAGCGTAATGGCTATGTCGCTGGACTCCCACGTAGTCAACCGCGGTTTGTGTCCCGGACCCGGTGGCTTAAAACTCACGCCCGGCGCGTGTGTGTGCGTGCCCAAGATCCCGAGAGGAGAATGGAGGAGAAGGGATTGTGGCGTGACCATCCCCCCTGGGGGGTGATTTCTCGCTTTCTGTCTCTATGTCTCTCTCTGTCTGTCTGGCGAGCGCACGCGCCCTACAGTGAAAATCTCTCCAAAAAAAAAAAAAATTTATTACATTGTACATATGAGGAGACTTTTAAAAAATTTGTGGAAAATGGAATTAAAGAAAGTTTATTTTGGTGAAAAATGGACATCCACAGTTTTTTCCTAATATGCATATTTCATGAACTTTTTAAAGATCTCTAACATATGTCACATTTTCTTTACCCATTCTTCTGTTCATGGGCATTTCAGCTGATTCCGTATCTTGGCTATTGTGAACAGTGCTGCACTAAACATAGGGGTACAGACACCTCTTTCATATACTGATCTCTTTCCTTCCGATATATATACTCAGTAGTGGGGTTCCTGGATCATTTATAAACATTCTGGTTTTGTTTTTCTGAGGACTCTCCATGCTGTTTTTTATAACGGCTGTACTAATTCATATCCCCACTAACGATGTAAAAGAGCTCCCCTTTCGCCACATCCTCATCCGTATTTGTTAATTTCTGTCTCTTTGATAATAGCCATACTAACTGCGGTGAGGTTTCATTTCAATTTGCATTTCCCTGATGGTTAATGATGTTGAACATTTTTTCATATATGCCATTTGAATAAATGTCTATTTAGGTCTTTGTCCTTTTTTAACCAGGGTGTATTCTGCTACACTATTCAGTTATTTAAAAAAGGATGAAATTCTGTCATTTACAAAATGGATGAGTCTGGAGGACATTATGTTATGTGAAATCAGCAAGGCACAAAAAGACAAATACTACAGAATTTTACTCAGATATGGCATCTAAAAACACTGAGCTCATAGGGATGAGAGGACAACTAAGCTTATCAGAAACTGTGGAGAAGAGAGAGGAAGGGGAATGGGGAGAGGTCAGCCAATGGGCATGAAGTTACAATAGGAGCACTAAGTCATGGTACTCGAACGCACAGTAGGACTACAGACAACATGATGCAAATAGCCAGAGGAGAGGATTCTGAATATTTTCACAGCAAAAAAAATGGTGAATGATAATGGTCGAAGTGATAAATGTGCTAATTATGATGACTTGATCATTACTCAATTTATACATGTATTGAAACATCACATTGTATCCTGTTAACATGTACAATTATGTCAATAATATAAAAAAGAGAAAAAATATTTAAAAATAAATGTCAGATTTTCAGTGGTTTCAGTCTACCTGGAATATAAGGGTTGCCAGAAAAGTCCTAATGCATTTTTACATAGAAAAGCAGGACAAAAAAAAAAAAAGTCATGACTTTTCTGACAACCCAGCAGCTATAACCCAATTTTTTTTAAAAAAAGGCTTCTCAACACTAAGGAAAACTGTGATTACAAAGCCATTCCTATCTATGTATTATTGTTAACCATTTCTAACCCATTCTGAATAAAGGTTAGGCATAAATAAGAAATCTGTATTATCTATAAAATTAAAGTTATGATTTAACAAGGTTGAAAACTGGACCCCACATTTGAGATGGAAACAAATGGTTTCTGAAGACACACCACTTAATTTGTCCAGTAATCAACTTATATTTTTAAATAATGACCCGATTTTACAATATACTCTGCTTGATAAGTTTTTTTTTTTTTGAGAGATTTTCGCTATAGGGCGCATGCGCTCGCCAGACAGACAGAGAGAGACAGAGAGACAGAAAGCGAGAAATCACCCCCCAGGGGGGTTGGTCACACTGCAATCCTTTCTCCTCCAGGCTCCTCTCGGGATCTTGGACATGCACACACATGCGCCTGGTGTGAGTTTTAAGCCACCGGGTCCGGGATGCGAACTGCGGTCGACTACGTGGGAGTCCAGCAACATAACCATTACGCTAACTGCTGGTTCCCGGTAAGTCTGGTTTTTATGGCAAACATTGTTTACATTTTAGAAAAGTTTTTGTTCACAAAAGGTTTCTTTTTTTTTTAAAAAAATAGTAACTTGTCCTAGAAATGCCCTTTCAATAGCTTCTAGGTATTTACTCTCAGTGACTTTTGGAAAAAGCTGGGTAAATGAGGTGTTGCATCACATAAAAATTGGCACTGTATATATAGGAGATAGGATGTATGGCTCATGAACTTCCTCTGCAGGATTACAGATTATGATGCCTATGTGTGTGTATATATATGTATATACATACATATACATATATTAAAAGTGTATATGTGTTTATGTGTAAATGGGTATAAATGTGTACACACACATACTAATATTAACAAATATATACACATACATATACATATATACACACATATATATATATATATGCGTATGTATGTATGTATATATATTTAAGTTTGTTACAGAGTGCATGCACTCACTGGGGACACAGAGCAAGAGAGAAAGAGAGAAGGAAAGTAAGAAATTACCCTCTCCCAGTCAGAGGGGATTGCCATACTACAATCCCTTCTCCTCCATTCGCCTCTCAGAATTTTGGGCATGTGTGCATATGTGCCTGGTGTGATTTCCAAGTCATCAAGACTTAAACTGCTCAGTATGCCACACAGGATCCAGCTGCCTTAACTTCTGTGCCACCTGCTGGCCCTAAAGATGATGCATATTTAACAGCATAAATCAATTGTCTTCTAGTCTGTATTATCAGCAATTAAACAGTAAAAAACATCTCAGTTAAAATCTAAATGGACTACTTGAAAATTTTCCAGAAAAACTAGAAGGAAAAGGAAATTTATCCTTGGAGTATTTTTTGTTGTTGTTGCTTTTTGTAAAAATTCAGGATCTCTACAGTGATCATCCTGTCTCAGCCTCCTGAGAAGCTGGGACTACCAGAAGGCACCACCTCGCATGGCTTTCTGTGCGGGCCCCAGGGCCTCTCATGTGGTCTCAACCTCAGAAACATCAGTTTCTTTATCCGTGTGCCATGGCAACTGGGTCCCTGAAGTATTAGTATTAGTTTAACATTTAGCTTTAGTGGTAACACATCAGTAGCCTTTTTTTTTAAATAATTATTTTATTTTTAACTTTTATTTATTTATTTTACGTTATTTGAATTATTTTTAATTTTGAAATATATTATAAAATAAATTTTTGCTACAGGGCATGTGCTCTCTCCAGAAAGACAGAGAGAGACAGAAAGTGAGAAATCACCCCCTAGGGGGGATGGCCATGCTGCAATCCCTTCTCCTCTTGGGATCTTGGGGATGCACGCACACGCACCCGGCGTGAGTTTAAGCCGCTGGGTCCGGGACTCGAACCGCGGTTGACTACATGGGAGTCCAGGGACATAGCCATTATGCTAACTGCTGGTCCCCCTTATTTAATTTGACCAGAGAGGGACAGAATGAGAGTGAGCGGGAGAGAGAGAAAGTGAGAAAGCAAGTTGCCAGGTCCAGAAACTGAACCATGGTCAGCCATGTGGGAGTCCAGTACCCTTAACCACCACACCACCTGCCGGCCCGTCTGTCTTTTAATCATTTAAGTCAAGATCATTAGACTTATGATAACTAGGTCACTGCTGGGAAGATAAGTGTGGTTAGACAGAAAACAAAAATCATTCAAAAGTGTTAAAAATATTGACTACTAGGAAGAATCAATTACACACACAGTAAAGAACAGGAGGGTCTGAACCATCTACAAACATGGAGGTGATTCCATGATTTTTTTCTGGTGACAATACCTGCTGTGGGGGAGTTTGCATGGTGAGACTTTTTTGGCAGGTTGAAGATCTGTTCACCAGGGTCGGGGGGAGGAATTGCATCTTGCCCTTGTCGTGCCTCTACAGGATCATACTCCTTCCCATCGTAGTTAGCATCATAGAATTTCTTAAACCACTGAATAAAATCCAGGTTGTCCTGGAAACGCCCTTTCACTAGCTTCTCCACTGGAATTACCTGCAATGTAAAAATCGTGATGTCAGTCACTAACCTCAGGTTTTCTTATATTCCATACAACGGAAGCATTCTCTAAGTATGACTATTTCTTGCATGCTTGCAATTCATGACCACTGATATCTTTCCTAGTTTCTCTGCTAGCCATGCTTCAGAATTAATATAATTTTTCATCATATTAAAGAACTCAGAAAAAACATCATAGCTGGTTTCCCTGTAATATTTAGTAATTCTCAACAAACCAGACAAAAGAAGGAATATCCTTAGCTCTCAGGTAGAACTGGTTTCCTTCATAGTATTTGACTTAAACTATTTCTCCTCCAAAATAAAAACCTGAGATGTTTTGCTATTTCAAGATTGACGAGCTTTTCTCATTTCTTTGTAATGCGTGGTCCAGCTGTGTTAGGATAAATTCTTGTAATGATTATAGCCACTATGGGTGCAATTGCGTAAGATTCAAATTCATGAAAACATATACCAATCTCATGGTTCATATGAAACAAAATAGCTTTCCCAGAGCTTATTTACAATGCAGAGACAAGTATGAAAACAACTAAGCACAATATAGGGCCACTAATTCATGGGCTACCCAGGGGCACAGCTAACATGCTGCAGGAGTGCAGAGGATAAGAAACGAGGGCTAATGAAGGGGTCACGGAAGGTAGAGGAGCAGGTGCACAGAGTTCACACCATCTTCTGATACATAGTCCTCAGCTTTTCCTGGAGTAGCTTTCGTACTGCAACCTAAAGTGGCAACTGGTATTCCCTATAGAGATCTTGTGTTATGACAAGGATAAAATGTGGTTTGATTGCTTAGCTATAATTCAGTGGCCCACGACTATGGAAAGAAAATGGAAAGGTACCTCTCCTATCCCAACAGCAGCATTGCCAGATCCTTATTTCCCACATCTTGGGTGGGACTAACAGCTAAATGTAAACCATGAGAGTAACAAAGCTGGGGTATGAGTCAGACTGTGTGTGTGTGTGTGTGTGTTCATGTGTTCAGACAAAAACCCAGTGCTCAGAGCACATGGCTTCACCGTGTGACCACACGAATGGAAGTTGTACAAATTAAACTTCTGGCAGGGATTTGCTACCTCAGCAGCTATATACCATTTATATTCTAAAATGTATTAATAGGACTACTTAAAAAATGTAAAAGACCTTAAATATCAATGACAATTTTAAACGAAAATGCAACTAAAGCATTAAAGGCCATCCATTAAACTCAATCAGCAATAAGTTTTTCAAAAAAATTTTTGTGGGACCAGCAGTTAGCGTAATGGCTATGTCGCTGGACTTCCATGTAGTCGACCACGGTTCGTGTCCCGGATCTGGTGGCTTAAAACTCACGCCAGGCGCGTGTGCGTGCGTGCCCAAGATCCCGAGAGGAGAATGGAGGAGAAGGGATTGTGGTATGGCCATCCCCCCTGGGGGCTGATTTCTCGCTTTCTGTCTCTCTGTCTCTCTCTGTCTGTCTGGCGAGCACATGCACCCTATAGCAAAAACCTCTCAAAAAAGAAAATTTTTGTGTGGCTAAAACAGAATAAAGCAAAGAGAATGAAACTTTGCAAGGAGATCGTATTTTTCATGAAGACTCTTCTGGTAATACAGATCTAGTGCTGGTATTTCCCTCCCATCACTTCAGTGAAGTTTGCTCCCAAGGAAGAATTCCTGCCACATGTGCACTTAATTGACTTGTCATTGTACTATTTGATTAACTTCTTATCTTCTGATTTTAAAATGTTTATGATATTTCACTGTCTCAAAAAAAATGACTTCTTAAGAGTAGAAGGCCTTTATTTATTTATTTTTTAAAGAGAGATTTTTACTATAGGGCATGTGTACTCACAAGAGAGACAGAAAGTGAGAAATCACTCCTGAGGAGAATGGCCATGCCACCATCCCTTCTCCTCCATTCTCCTCTTGGGATTTTGGGCACACACGCATTAGCACCCAGCATGAGTTCTAAGCTGCCATGTCTGGGACTTGAACTGTTGTCAACTATGTGGGAGTCCAATGATGTAACCATTATGCCATCTGCTGGTCCCAAGAAGGCCTTTTAATTAGCCCACTAATGCTACTGTACTTGGTTTATTGTCTGATGTGAGAAGTTAAAGTTTTAGATGATGGTGGTAAATAAACCATTACAAGAAGGTACTTATTTGTGTTGACTTAATTTTGTATTTGCCATCAAAATGATGGCTTCAGAGGCATGAGTTCAAAATCTGAGGCAGCAAGCAGAACTCTGCATAGAACCGTTCAATATACTGCACTTCTACGATAAATGTGAACAGGGGAATGAGTGCTGTCTATATCACGTGTGGGTAAAATCACAGCACGATTAAAACTAGAGAGGCTGACAAAGACCATCAAGGTCAGTCTTCTCCCTCTGCTGCTCATCCTTCCTCTGTGTCACCTTCTAGAGAGATATGGAACCCACCAATACACCTATGAGCAGGTGTTTCTTTTCAACCTAGAAGCATATATAGAAAATGAATAGAAAAACATAAGTGGTGCTACTAATTTGGAAAAGTGAGGAGAATCTTTACAGCTCTAGTTTTGAACACAGATGCAAATTACCCACAGCACAGGCCATAAAAAAAGCTGATAAAAATCCAGAGGGTTAAAAGAATATATGTTGCAGGGCTGGCAGGAAGCGTGGTGGTTAAGGGCTGGATTCCCACATGGCCGACTGTGGTTTGAGTCCTAGACCTGGTGGCTTGCTTCCTTGCCTTTCCCTCTCTTCCTCTCTCTTGCTCTGTCCCTCTCTGGTCAAACTGAAATAAATAAATAGTTAACTTAGGGAACTGACAGTTAGCGTAATGGCTATGTCGCTGGACTCCCACGTAGTCAACCGCGGTTCGTGTCCCGGACCTGGTGGCTTGAAACTCACGCCGGGCGCGTGTGCGTGCGTGCCCAAGATCCCGAGAAGAGAATGGAGGAGAAGGGATTGCGGCGTGACCACCCCCCCTGGGGGGTGATTTCTCGCTTTCTGTCTCTCTGTCTCTCTCTGTCTGTCTGGCGAGCGCACGCGCCCTACAGTGAAAAATCTCTCAAAAAAAATAGTTAAATAAAATAATAATAATAATTATTTTTTAAATAGAATGTTTGTTTCAAAAGAAAAATGCTGATAAAACCATAAGCCAAGATTGTCTTAACATTTGGATAAGAATATTTTTACCTAAGAAAATATTAATTGCATTAAACTTAAGAATAGCTTATAAAACTTTTCTTTAACATCTATCTCTTAACAACCCACTATTTTCACTTCCATACCCTATTTATTACTACTGTTTATTCAAACAAAAATATTCCATTTCTCCACCACTAATCTCTCTCTATTCCTTTATTTAAAATTTCTTCCCAGGCTTATTAACCCTAAGGCACATACCCAAGTAAGGAATATGGATTCATCATTTATTTGAATAGTAATAAACATTCAAGGAGACTGAGTGAGTTTTAGCAAAAGTCCCTTATTAGAGGGAAAGGAATTCCAGTTTGACTCTAGGACAAAATTACAATAATTTAAAGGACAAAAAGCAGGTCGCTTATGGACACTGACTCAGAATCTGAGGGCATACACTATACTGGATACTTTTACATATACTCCCTCACTTCTGCTTCATAATCATAGGTAAGGGGCTTTAGTCACTGTTTACAGATGGGTAAACTCAGATTTATAGAATTTCAATAACTTGCTCAAGTCATGAAGCTGGGATTCAAAGCAAAGCTGATTCCCCAAAAACATGCTTGCTATTTTTTCAAAGGGACAAAATACACAATAAACCACTGTAGCATCTGGCAAACATAACAATTTTTCATCTGCAATGCTAAAACGTAACAACATCTTAACATTTCTGATTCCCGTTAGAGCTGTTAGTCTAATGGCTATAAATTTACAAAATGGCCTGAAATAAAATCTCATATAAATATGGGACATTAGAGTATGCTATATGCTATGAACCTACTGTTATCTCCTATACATTGGGTTGTCATAAAGTCATGACATATTTTTCCATGTTTTTTTTTTGTTTGTTTCTAAAGAGCTTACATTTTTTAAATGTAATTTTTAAACATTTATTATTTATTTTATTTTGCCTCAGAGCACGTGCACTCACCAGAGAGAGAGAGAAAGAGAGAGAGTGAGGAAGAAAATGAGAAAGCAAGTTGCCAGATCTGGACTGGAACTGCAGTCAGCCATGTGGGAGTCCAGTGTCTTAACCACCACACCACCTGCTGGCCTTTCTGTTTTTGCATGCAAAAATGCATCATGACTTTTTCGACGACCCAAAGAAAATCAAGATATATCTATTAATAGTGTTTTAGCTTTGTGTATTTCTTCTGAAAAGAAATTTTAAGGAAAAACAATACAAGGTCCAAGTGAGTCTCTTACCTTATCAACATTCATTCGCTTAAATGACGCTTGCAGAAGTTTAAAATTGTGAATATATTCATGCTCCAACTTTGCTTGAAATTTTACTTTCTTCAAACTAATGCAGCCTGGAAAGAGCATGTCCATGAACTGGCAATATGCTGCTCCTGGAAACGACAAAAAATGTACGGGAGTGAGTAGGACAGTGCCCAGGTGTGATGAAGGGAAATGCTAGTGTCTTGATGATGCAAGCATGCGCCACTTTCCCACTTCTAACCACCATGTTTTACAGTGTGGGCACAAGAGTATCACCAGGTTTCTTAAGAAATAACATGCACTCATATAGGTGGGGTATCTTAAAATACAAAATTACGGGACCGGTAGATGGCATGATGGTTACGTTGCTGGACTCCCAGGTTGTCGACTACGGTTCGAGTCCCGGACCCAGTGGCTTAAAACTCACTCCAGGCACGTGTGTGCATGACCAAGATCTCATGAGGAGAATGGAGGAGAATGAACTGTGGCATGGCAATCCCCCTTGGGGGAAAAGGGGAGTTCTTGCTTCCTGTCTGTCTCTCTCTGGTGAGCGCACATGCCCTATAACAAAAACCTCTCTTAAAAAAATACAAAATCAAAAATGCTCCAAAATAGGAAACTTTTTTAATGCTGATATGATACCATAAGTGGAAAATTTCACAAATGACCTCTTGTGACAGGTAATATTCAAAATGTTGCAATACAAAAATATCACATAAAATTACCTTCAGGCTATGTGTATAAGGTATACAGAAAATATTCATGAATTTCATGTTTAGACTTGAGTCCTCTCCTTAAGATACCTCATTATGTATATGCAAATAGTCTTCACCCAAAAGAAAAAACAAAAATCTGAAATATTTTTGGTTCCAAGCTTTTTGGGTAAAGGATATTCAAACTGTTTTATAATGCAAAGGAAATCAGATTAAGAATAGCTCTTTGTAGCTTCTACCACAGTAAAGGAACATATTTTTTTCTTCCATCTAGCTGCTATCTGCTCCAAGTTATCAAAATAAATAAATTTAAGAGGAAAAAATAGAGGAAAATATAGACATGAGAAAAATACAAAAGTTTTTATGAAATGCAATACAGCTCAACTCTCTCTCTCTCTCTCTCTCTCTCACACACACACACACACACACACACACACAAGCTATTTTATATCCATCCTGCAAAATAACTTAGGTAAAACTGTAAAACTAAGCTTTTCAATACAAAAAACGGTTGTATAGCAATTTAATTCCAGTCTAGAGCAGTGGGGTTACTATAATAACATGAAGGATGAAGATATGGATGTTGAAACTTAGAGAAGTTTAGAGTCATGCTGTTTATGACTGAGATATAAATGTTACAGAAATGTTCAATGAGTCCCCTGAGGAAATGGTCAGAGGAAAAGGAGCTTATTACTAAAAGTCTTCATTTTTTAAAAATAAGACAAATTTTTAGGACATGATCATTTAAACTAGAAAACCTTGGCAAGACCATGTCTGTTGATTCATATCTTAATAATAAAAGCTAATGACATTTAAGAAAAGAAATGAAATGCTAGAATGATCATTTTTTTTTTTTAACAAGAAATGCGAGTGAGTAGTGAGAAAAGGAACAAGCGCCATTTGTATGTTCTCTCCTTCTTGCTCTGCTGTCTCCAGATCTTGTGGGCCTCTCTTCATTCTTTACTAGCAAGGCTTCAGTGAGGACCTCATTCAGGTGACACAGATAGGAAGGACATATCCTTTCACTCACATCAGAAAGAGAACAAACATCCTTCACTGAGATAGAAGTATATGACAAGAGGGAACATGAAACCAGGAATCTAAAGATAGTCAGAACAGAAAATGTTTTGTAGGTAAGAGCAGAGAGTGATTTAAAATAGGCCATAAATATCATCTCCAGAGTCCTTGCAGCTGGCTGCCCCATCAGATGCCAATACCCTGAATACTAACTAGGAGTTCCTAGTCAAGCAGATGGATTCCTTTTAAAAACAAGACAAAATAAGACAAACAAAAAACAAAACAAAACAAAACAAAACAAAAAAACATTGGGGGAGGTAAGGGAACATCATGATCTGGGGTATTCTTATAGTCATCATTCAATTATTCAGTTCTTCCCTTTGAAGTTCCACCAGATGGAGCAAGTTCCAAGAGCCACATCAACCCTATTTGTATGGGGATGGGAGTTGTCTAAACACAACCGACTCACTACCTGTACTTCAGTATTATTTTCACTTTTGTAGAACTTAACATAAAATTTACCTATGGAGACCCAGATACTATTTAGTCCTAAAAAACCAACCAAATCCAAGATCAGCTTTAGCCTCCTCATCCAGGGATAACCCCTGTATGTATTATTCTAATCCTTTGCTTTTTTTGGGGGGTATTATACACACACACACACACACACACACACACACACACATGTATTTCTATAAAAGTGTTATCACATCCTATAAATATAATCACATTATACTCATTGAAACTTTGTTTTCTTAATAGACCATGATTCCCTTTCTCTACAAATATCTTTAATGGCTTTCTGATTTTTATATCATGCTTAGCTATTTTCCCAAACCAAGCTGACATAAATATTCATGTATATTTTCTTCAAGCACTTTTACGGTTTCAAGTTTTACATTTAAATTCCGAATCTATGTGGAATTTATTTTGGCCTATGACAAAGTACGGTTCTAATTTTAGTTATGCCAAATGTTAGTGGAAATCTGTCATTTTTGGCTCCCTGGCATTTGGACTTCCTATATGGGGAGAAGCGACAGTCGCCCAAGGAGAGCGGGCATCCTTTCCCTGTCCCCAGGAGTAAGGATGCAGTCCCATGACCTAGGCTCTGCCTTTGGATGTTCCTGCCCTGGTATCTGAGCAGAGGGAATGAAAGAAACACACCATAAGGGACCATAAAGATTCAATCACAGTGGTAGTGGTGGGGTCTAGAGTGCTGAAAAAAAGAGGTTTATGACTAAAAGTCTACAGCAGCACAGTAGAATCCCATCCACTTACTCCTACAGCAAAAGGAGCTCTGTTCCAGCTCCTTGGCAACCTTTGGTTGACTTTCCATTGACTCTGAGCTAGCCAATATTTTGGGTAGGATTTTCTTATTTTGGACATTTCAGATAAATGGGATCATATAAGATGTGGCCTTTGTGCCTGGTTTATTTACTCTGTAAACTCTTTTCAAGATTCACCTATGTTGTGGCAAGTATCATAACTTCATTCCTTTTTATAGTTGAGTCATCTTCCATGTATCAATATATTTTATTGATGGACATCTGGGTTGTTTTCACTTTGGGGCTAGAGTAAAGCTGCTATGAACATTTGTGTTTAAGTGTTTGTGTGGACACGTTTCCATTCTCTTGACTATACACCTAGGAGTAGAATTATTTAGTCATATGGTACCTCTATGTTGAATATTTTCAAGAATTTCCAACCGCTTTCCAAAGCTGAAGAACCATTCTACATCCCCATGAACACTGTATCAGGGTTCCAATTTCTCCATATCTTTGCTACCACTTGTTACTGTCTGTTAGTCTGATTCTAGCTCTCCTAATGGGTGTGAAGTGCTAACTCATGTTTTTGATTTCCCTAATTCTTATGACATTGGGCATCTTTCCCATGTGTTTTCTGGCCATTTGTATACATTCTTTGGAGAGAGATATGCAAACCCTTTGTCCATCTTTAAATTGGGCTGCCTTTTTATTGTTTAGTTTTAAGAATTCCTTGTACATTCTAGATACAATTTCCTTAATGGCTATATGAGAGGGACTTTAAAAGTTCATGGGAAAATGGAATATAAATATGAAATTATTTTATTGCAAAAATATTTTTGAAATCATGGGTAGCTTTTTCTTTTCTTTTTATTGTCACAGGGTGTGTATACTCACGAGAGAGAGAGAGAGAGAGAGAGAGAGAGAGAAATGCAGGGAGAGAGTGCCTCCTATGGGGCAATGGTAACATTGAAATCATTTCTCCTTCATTTCTCTATCCTGGCAGGATTCTGGGTACATATGCACATGTTCTTGGCATGATTTTCAAGCTGCTGAAGCCAGGATGTGGACCAAGTTCAACTATGTGGGATCCAGCTTCTTTAACCATTAAGTTATAGGGCCAGTCCACAAAAGTTTTTAATTTTGATGAAATCTAATTTACCTAAATTTTCTTTTGCTGCTTGTGCTTTTGTGGTTATATCTAATAGACCATTGCCTAACTCCAGGAAGATTTTATACTTTCTTTTAAAATTTGTATAGCTTTATTTCTTACAATAAGGTCTATGATCCATTTTGAGTTAATTCATGTGGAACTGAGTTCAATTTCATTGTTTTGCATGTGGAAATCCAGGTATCCTAGGACCATTTGTTGAAGAGATTATTCTTCCTCCATTTAATTGTCCTGGCACCCTTATTCAAAATCAATGAACTATAAATGTATGGGCGTAGTTCTGGATTCTCAATTCCATTCCATCTACATGTCTACCCTTATGCCAGTAACACTGTATCTTGAGAGTTGCAGTCAGTTTTGAAATCAAAAGTATACATTTTTCAACTCTGTTCTTTCTTTTCCAGATTGTTTCAGATATTCTGGATCTTTTGCATTTCCATATGAACTTGTCAATTTCTGTATAAGGAACAGCTGTGATTTTTGTAGGGACTGCAATGAATCTAGTGGCTAATCTGAGGAGTGTTGCCATTTTAACAATATTAAGCTTCCAATCCACGAACATGGGTTGTCTTTCTAGTTATTTTTTCAACAGGGTTTATGTTGAGTCGTTAGAAAAGTCATGATGTATTTTTCTGTTTTTTAATGCAAAAATGTGTCATGGTTTTTCTGACAACCCAATAGTTTTCGGTGTACATGCCTTGTACTTTATACACACATGCACACACGCATTTTACTTTATACGATCAATCACTGTATAAAACTATTAGAGGCTGGGGGGATTGTGGCATCTAATCAATCTCTCTCTCAGTGTATACTTCTTTTCTTAAGTTTATTCCATAGTATTTTGTTCTCTTTAATGCTACTGGTAAGTGAACTTTTATTCTTAATTTTTAAATTGTTAATATAAAGAAACACAACTGGCTTTTGGATATTGACCTTCTATCATGTAAATGTACTTACCCCATTTA